GGGGTTAAATTTGATGAATGTACCCTGTTTGTATATATATAGTGACAAAATATTGGTGAGTATTTTTATCTTTTAATATTTTTAGTTCCACAAATTATGGGTTTTATTTAAAATCTCATTAATATAAACAACTTCAAATTTCATTTTTTTTATTTGAATAATTTAATAACCTACATAGAAATATACTATTACATTAATGTCAAGAACTTCGATAAAAATTTGAAACTAAAAATAACCAAGGTTTCAATTAAAGAACATTAATAATTAAGAGCCGCATTCAAAGTCTTCCTTTTAATTATCTTATACCCAATAATCCTAACCCCACTACACATTGCACCTCCCCATTATTTCCTGTTAACCCAAACCAAATGTCGACAAAATTTTCGGATGAGTTCGTCAACGACTGTTATCTCCATCCATTATTTTCCTTCTCTTTGTCTTCCTCCTTCTTTTCATACCCTTAAGAATAAAATGAATCATCATACGCTACCGGCGTTGGTGTCAACGTCGACGTTGGACATGGCTTCGTACTATGCTCCCGTCAACCCCACTTCATATCGGCATCTCACTTTTCCGATTAATTGGATCCAAGTTCGTATAAAGAAACAAGAAAGGGAGAAAGGAGAACATCAATGGTCATCGGAGCTTCGATTGCATAACAGAATAAACAAATGGAAGGGTGCACTGGTGAAAACCTTCCTTTCCCTCGGCTTTTCTAAATACTTTTTTTTTATTTAATGGCAAAGTTGGAATTCCACTAAAGACATTCTTAAGTTGGCGTAGAAATAAAACAAATGGATTCAAATAAAATTTTCCCGTTCTCTTGTAATATAATACATATTTAAGATGATAAGACATATGTGGTACATTTAACATTGTTACTACTTGATGGTATGTTGGTTTGACTTGATAAAAGTTTTATACATTTTGATTTTATTCTGTCCCTTCAACCACACCCTCCCACCCCACAACCCCAACACCCCCACCACCACCACCCCCACCCCCACCCCCACCACCACCCCCCCCCCCCCCCCCCCCCCCCCCCCCCCCCCCCCCCCCCCCCCCCGCGGCGCCGCTCCTCTTTTTTCCAAGGATGATCACGTTTATTTGGAGATCAAAACATTTTGATTTTATTCTGTCCCTTCAACCACACCCTCACCACCCCCCCCCCCCCCCCCCCCCCCCGTGCTTCTCTTTTTTCCAAGGATGATCACGTTTATTTGGAGATCCATTGTGACTAAATAAGAAGGTTCCTCACGGAACGGCATGAAAAACGTTAATTAAGAATGTGCTAAACTTAACTTTGTTAGACCAAGTCCGAGTTACAAGAATCCAGCTCATGTTTAAACTCTAAAGTGCCTGCCATCATTACAACTATAGTGGACATGTGATTGCTGACTCATGGACAGCAAGGAGGACAGTTTATTATTGCTGTGCTATTGCTCCGAGTGCTGTGGTGTGCTGTTGCTGTGCTGCTGCATGTGTGGCGTGCAGTCCTTGTATTTTAAATTGTAAAGTTTGTATGTTGTAGTGTATATAACAAAGCCTTCCCGTAAGGCCTAGATTGGAAGTGTGAATTATTTATAGAGATCAGAAATTCTATCATGGTACTGAGCCTTTCTGTCTAACGACAAAAGATCCTTGTTTTTTTTTTCTTCCGCATCACTGTTTCCATGGCTGAAACTAATAATGTCAACCCTATTCTTCCCCCTCCTGCAACTTCATCCGTCAATCCCTTATTCTCTTCCATGACTACCATAGTGAATATTAAGCTTGATCGTGCCAACCATCCTCTATGGTTGGCGCAGATTTTGCCAATACTGAAGAGTCGTGACCTGATGGGTTACGTCGACGGCTTTCTGGACTGTCCTCCGAAACACTTGGCTGGAAATACTGCTGTCAATCCGGAGTATGTTACATGGGTGCAACGCGATCAAATGGTTCTGAGTTGGATCAATGGCTCGCTGACTGCTTCTGTTCTAGCAACCGTTGCCAGCAAACGCGCATCTCGTGCGACATGAGAGGCTCTTGAGCAGCGTTACACATCCACTTCTCAGAATCGCATTCTCTTTCTGCGCAATGAATTGCTCCTGACCAAAAAAGGCGATCTCTCAGTAGCTGATTACTTGGATCGTGTCAATGCTATTTCCGATAATCTTGCCCTCGCCGGACAACCAGTAAGTGATAATGAACTGGTTCAAATTATTCTTAATAACCTTGGACCTGCATTCGAGATGACTGTCAATGCAGCTCAGGCACGTGATACTCTGATCACGTACCCAACCCTTGAAGCCCTCCTTTTGACCACGGAGAGGCGCATGATGGAACAAACTGTACCTGTGGTGGAAGCTACTCCAGTCAATGCTTTTGTAGCTGCAAGAGGACGTGGTGGACGTTCTCGTGGAAATGGACGTGGTGGCTTTCTGTCCAATCGAGGTGGTGCTTCTCCTATCAACCAGCGAGGTTTCTTTCCTCGCAACACTAATCAGCGTAATCCTGCCGTTAATGGGGAACACTTCAATACAAGTGGAGAGTGAATCACTTGTCAAATTTGTGGTAAGCCTGGCCATCCTGCTTTAGATTGTTATCAGCGCATGAATGGTGCTTATGAAGGACGTATTCCAACCAAACGTCTTACTGCTATGGCCTCTTCACCAATTACTTTGAATCGACAACAAAATGGCACCTGGTTACTGGACACAAGAGCTAATGCCCATGTCACTCCTGATATTCAAAATCTGGTAAATCCGAAGGAGTACAATGGTAATGAGAATATCGGTGGTGTAGGTAATGATATTGGCCTTTCCATTAAACATTATGGTTCGAATAAAATCAGTACTAAGGCTTGCTCATTCGAACTAAACAATATCCTTCATTGTCCATCCGCCTCCACTAGCCTTATTTCTGCCCATAAATTCACTCTTGATAACCATTGCTACCTACTAATATTTCCTCATTTTTTCCTTGTCAAGGACCTCAAGACCCAGAAGACGCTTTTCCGAGGGAGATGTGAGAATGGGTTATACCCATTTCCAGGTGGCGGTGGATTAACCCAGTATCCTATTTCAACGTTCTTAGGTGTTAGAGTCTCAGCCAAAAAATGGCATTCTCGTCTTGGTCATCCTGCGTCTTCAATTATTAAGTTTTTAATTTCAAATAATCAAGTACCAAGTCATGGTACTGCCGATGTAACGTTTTGTGATTCTTGTCCTTTGGGCAAGAGTACCAAACTTCCCTTTAGCAAGTCCGAGTCTGTGTCTCACTCTCCTTTGGAACTTTTGCATTCCGATGTGTGGTGTTCACCAGTTATATCAATTGAAGGTTTTCGTTATTATGTTTTGTTTGTCGATGATTATTCTCGCTATTCTTGGATTTTTCCCATGAAACACAAATCTGAAGTATTTGGCATTTTTGTCACATTTAAGGCGCAGGTTGAAAAAATGTTTAACACATTCATTAAAACCCTTCAATGTGATGAAGGTGGTGAGTATAAGAGTCAAGCCTTTAAACAGTTTCTTGCGACTCAAGGTATTTCCCAACGGTTTTCATGCCCTAAACATCCTGAGCAAAATGGAATGGCGGAACGAAAACATCGCCACATAGTCGAAACTAGTGTTGTCATGCTTTCCCATGCCCACATCCCTGACAAATATTGGTTTGATGCCTGTTTGACGGCCACATATCTAATTAATAGGTTACCAACTAAGGTTTTGTCAAACAAATCTCCATATGAAAAGCTATTTCATCGAACACCGATTTATGTATCCTTTAAAGTCTTTGGGTGTAAATGTTTTCCTTGGTTGACACCCTATGCCAAACACAAACTTCAACCCAAGTCTAAGTCATGTGTTTTCTTAGGATATTCGTTGAATCACCAAGGATACAAGTGTTTGGATTTATCCACGAGACAAGTGTATTTGTCTCGCCATGTATTATTCGATGAGGATTCCTTTCCCTTCCAGGAACTTACATCTCTCAAGGAAAACGTTTGCACAAAAGGTATCTCTCCACCCTCTGAGCTTCTTTTTCATTTTTCAGATCCTCTCCCTGGTACACCAACTAACCACAGTCTAGCCCCACCCAATGTCCAACCCGCCACTACAGCTAGTTTCCCAGATACTCCACCACTAAATGAACCACCTGCTCCTACTCCCAATCTTGCAACCATTTCCAGTTCTCGTGAACCTCTCCCAAACCAAGATGAGCAAGAAATAGTTGCTATTGTCCCTGTGAACCCGACTCTGTCACAACCCTATGATCCCGTGCTGATTCCTGACCCCCCTCTCATCCATCCTATGACCACTCGGTCTAAAGCTGGGATACAAAAGCCAAACCCGAAATATGCTTTGTATGTTAATACTGACACTTTGGTGGCAGAACCAACATGTTTTAGTCAGGCCATAAAGCATAAAGAATGGAGGAATGCAATGGCTCAAGAATTCAGTGCCTTGCAGCGCTGTGGTACGTGGACTCTTGTGCCTTACCATCGTGCCATGAACTTATTGCCAAACAAGTGGGTTTTCAAGATTAAACGACATGCAGATGGCTCGATTGAGCGCCATAAGGCTAGGCTTGTGGCTAATGGCTTTCATCAACAATCCGGGATTGACTATACGGAGACCTTTAGTCCAGTTGTCAAGCATAGTACCATTAGACTTGTGTTGAGTCTGGCAGTTTCACGGAGGTGGCAAGTTTGACAATTGGACGTTCAGAATGCATTTTTGCATGGGTATTTGAATGAGGATGTGTACATGAAGCAACCACCAGGTTTTGTTGATAACCAGTATCCTAACTATGTTTGTAAACTGCAACGTAGTTTATATGGTTTAAAACAGGGGCCTAGGGCCTGGTTTCAACGATTTTCTGAGTTTCTCCTTCAGTTAGGGTTCCAAGAATCCATGTGTGACTACTCCTTGTTTGTTTTTAATCAAAGAGGAGTTTATTTGATTTTGCTTATTTATGTGGATGACATATTGCTCACAGGAAACAACACTACTCAAATGGCATGGTTGATCACGAAGCTTAGCACTTTGTTTTCCATGAAAGACTTGGGTCCCCTTAGTTATTTCTTGGGCGTTGAAGCCACTTACGTTGGTCACAACCTGCATTTGACTCAATCCAAGTATGCTCTGGACTTGCTTGAGCGAACGAAGTTTAAAGATGCCAAGCCAATTTCCACTCCAGTTTCTACAGGCCAAAAATTGAGTGCTTATGTTGGTGAACCCTACAAACATCCGGAGCAATATCGTAGTGTCGTTGGTGCGTTGCAATATTTAACCATCACGAGACCGAATCTCTCATATGCTGTTAACCAGGTGTGCCAATTTATGCACTCCCCCAAGGACACTCATTGGATGGCAGTGAAACGTATCCTACGATATTTAAAGGCCACGTATGATCATGGTCTTGTTTATAAACCTGGAGATATGCAACTGCATGCTTTTTCGGATGCCGACTATGCGGGCAATCCTGATACCCGTCACTCTACAAGAGGTTTTTGTATTTATTTGGGGTCCAATCTGGTGTCTTGGAGCTCAAAGAAACAGAAGACTGTCTCTCGGTCAAGTACAGAAGCTGAATATAGGCAACTAGCCTACACGGCTGCTAAGCTATCTTGGTTCAGGTCATTATTCAAAGACCTTCATCTGCATCTTCTTCTTCCCCACATATGGTGCGATAATGTCTCTTCCATAGCCTTAGCTTCCAATCCAGTATTTCATTCGCGGACAAAACACTTAGAGGTCGATTATCACTATGTCCGTGAGAAGGTGGTTCGAAAGCAGCTTCTGATACATTTTATTTGTTCTCAAGATCAACTCGCTGATTTGTTTACAAAGGGCTTGTCTTCCTCGCGTTTCAAGCTTTTGGTGTCCAAGCTTCCAGTTGTTTCTCGGCCTGTCAGCTTGCTGGGGGCTGTTAGACCAAGTCCGAGTTACAAGAATCCAGCTCATGTTTAAACTCTAAAGTGCCTGCCATCATTACAACTATAGTGGACATGTGATTGCTGACTCATGGACAGCAGGGAGGACAGTTTATTATTGCTGTGCTATTGCTCCGAGTGCTATGGTGTGCTGTTGCTGTGCTGCTGCATGTGTGGCGTGCAGTCCTTGTATTTTAAATTGTAAAGTTTGTATGTTGTAGTGTATATAACAAAGCCTTCCCGTAAGGCCTAGATTGAAAGTGTGAATTATTTATAGAGATCAGAAATTCTATCAAACTTAATGTCAAGGAGGCCACACTCATCAACAGTAGAGTTTGTTTGACCTATCTATAAAAAGCTAGAGGACGAGAACATTCCCCTTTTTCTTTTCTTCTCCATTACCCATTAATCATGGCAAGAAAGAACAATGTTGATTTCCACATCCAATTCTCCTTCATATATATACAACTCTCCAAGTCGATGTGCAAATTAAGATTTGTTTGATTACTATTTAGAATCTATTTGACAATCATTTCGTTTATAATTTTACCCTTCACCACTTAATTCATCATTTCCCCTATATACTTTCCACGTATCTATAACACAGTAAAAATTTAAAACAAAATGGTAGCCAAAAGGGTCCTAATAGTCTTATGAGACGAGTCATATTTTCATTTAGTCCTATAATAAAGATGCTACTAACCTATCCATTTCCATAGTTAATTATGTATGGGAAGTATTAGCTCACACTCCCAATTTGCTATCCTGCATGTCATCCTAAAACGTTAATTTCTTGGTAAACGGAAGCATTATCTCACTGATGTTGATGAATATATAATTACATATACATATATATGAGTTATGAGCATAAATAAGAGCTTATTTACACTATTAGACAATTAATTATTACAAAAGAGTTGGTAGCAAACCACTGTTATGTATATTTCTCCTTCACAGAATCAGAATGATTGTTGATCCACAAATTATGCTTACGTCTTTCCATTGCATTAGTGGACCTTCTTAAAGTGAACTTTACTTAGCATGTCCAACAGTAATAGTAAAATCCACTACCTTATTAGTTATCGATTCTAGATTAGTTTGATCTCTTCTACCTCTCTAAGTCCTTTATTTTGCTTTAAATAGAACCGAATTGTTAACTTGTGTCAAATGGGTTAGGTATCAAAGATCTCCGCGTGCAGGAATCCAGAAACAACAATAATAATATATAATGATTCCTATATAATTAACAATGTTTGACCTTAATTAATCATACACATATATAAAATGGCCACATAAGCGTTGCATAAGTTGATGACATCATGGATCACACAAAGTATCATTAATAATTGATCTGATTTCTTGATTATTCTATTAAATTTGCAAAGACGGGCGAAGAAGGCTTAACCGCATTATAAAAGACATAAGTGCAGCATGATTCAGAACATGCTCATCACATGATTGAAAACATACCAAAAGTAAGATGGACAACTTAGAATACAGGTAACTTTCTTGAGTACATTTCATTGAACATCATTGAAAAGTTCCCACTCATCGTGATATAGGTTTTATATAAGAGGGATAATGGTTCTGACTCCCAAATGAAGACATCACAAGCTAAGAACTTCCCCAGAAGAAACCTATTGTTCCCTTCTCTCTCTCTCACTCTACCTCCCATGTGGCGGATAAGGGTTCTTGACTCCCATATGAAGACATCACAAGTTAAGAACCTCCCCAGAAGAAACCTGATGAGTATATTTTATATTATATATTTTACTCTATTCTTAGTATATTTTGGTAATATTTTAGAAGAATTTTGATACTTTGAATTGTATTTCTAATATAGGACTTTCGACTTCTTCTGGAGCAAAACATGGTTAAATAGATGAATTTTGGAGTAATTCCAATTGGAGGATGTTCATGATTCACTTAGCTTGATCGTATCAAAATATCAGATTTTTCTACCAAGAGATGATTTTCTGGCAATAAATAAAGGAGGAATGCACAGTACTGGAATAGTGACGTTTTTTTCTTAACTTACGTTTTGGAGCCCAAGATGGCCTCGGATGGGTTCGTGGCCTTCTGGAGATGTGTTCAGAACATTCTTATCTTTAAAACAAGCTATCTTGGGTGGGATTTGGAGGAGATTTGAGGCTAAAACGTGGCTGAACAGTTTCTGTGCAGCTTTTCCTAGTTTAATTAGGACTTTATTTTGTATTTTATTTTATTATTATTTAGTTTCTTAGTGGGAATAAAATAATTGATTGTTAGGGTTTGTGCGCTGGCTTTAGGGAAATATTAAAAGGCTTTGGCCTGTTCTAGTTTTGGGGAATGTTTTGCTTTTATGAAACTTTGGAGATAGAGAACTTTGCTAGGGTTCTTGGAGATTTTCTACTTTTAAGGTGTTTTCATTCCTTTTATTTTTAATAATATTTTCAATGATTTTAATTATGAATATGCGTAACTAATTCCTTTTGCTAGGGCGAAGCCTTAAGCCTTAGCATGAATATGTAATTTTTATTTAATTCCTTGTGATTGATTGCATGCATATTTTGAATTATTGATCACTGTGATTAAAACTATCTAATTGTCTTAATGCCTGATCACCATTATGATCCTTAGAAAAGTAATTTGATGCAGTTTTGGTCGGAAGGTTCCCTGAAATTGACCCTAGCTTCTTGTGATTAATAATTATAATTTCACTTAAGATGAACACCACATCTTAAGGGTTGCATGGTTTTTCAAAGGGTTTTCATAAAGCATAATGAGTCTTTCATGTTCAAATCATGTTCAGATTTGATCCGAACGTCTGGACAGGTTGCATGTTAGATTTACACTCTATGTTGGAGGTTCCAAGTAGAATATAAATTAGGAAAACCTAACCTTCAAAGTGGCATGTGTAGATCATAAGTAACTGGTAAAAATACATAGGATTGCTAGGTGATGGTGAAACCCTAGTGCTTTCTTAATTTGATTTTTCCAAAACAGTTTTCTTTCCCCTTCATCTTTAATATTGCAAATTCGTTTATTTTTATTAATTAAATTCGTTTTAATTTAAGTAGATTGTAAAACCAATCATCTCAATTTTCTGCTTTACAATAATTAATTGGAATTTGGTTTGTTTCGAATTATTTAATAATCCATGTGGAGAACGACCTTGCGAGAACTATTTATACTACAACAATCTTATTATTCTTGCAAGTAATATAGAAGTTTTTAACCCGTTTGCGTGTGGTAAAATCTCTATCAAAACCTCTTGTTCACATCTCTCTCTGGCACATTTCATTGCCGACTAACAAAATCCCCTGATGTACGTTTCTTAAAGATGGCTCTTTAATTAGTCTTTCCTTCTACCTTCTTCATTATCCTTTGTCATTTAGCAAAGTGTTCTGATTATCGGGAGCGTCCATTCCCTAATTAATCCACCTTTTATTAAAACATCAAACCGCATGAAAGGGGTTAAGTCAATCCAGCGGTGTTTTTGTAATGTACTTACATCCTCACATGAAATCCTACTTTGAAAGTGTGATATGACCTCTACAACGTAAAATTCAACGTTGTCACAGTAATAACAATATCATTAGGTGATATTATTAACTATAACCTTACTATTCTTTATGTAATTTTGAATTGTAAACTTTGGCAAATTAAGGTAATCTTACTTTCTTGTAATTAGAAATTGAGTGTTAAAGTCATGTTGTAACACTAATAAACATGAAGGTACAGAGTAAAAAAGTGGTGACGAGAGAATGGATAATTTCATGACGTCCACTAGTAGCAATTTACGTCTATTTGTAATCAAACATTTATGATCTAACAATCAACAATGGTAGTGTAATAACAATATCATTCTATAACCTACCATTATAATATAGCTTAACAATAAACTTTGACCATTATAATATAGTTTGATTAAAAGGTACCAATACTCTATTTGTACCGTAAAATTTCCCGTCTTCTAAATGTAGACTAACATAAGGTATTGATTAAATACTTGAGTAATGTTAGGGAGATCAAAATTTTGAACTAAATTGTGTAAATCAAATGATGTGGTTGTTGATAATTGGAATATTAACTAAATGTCGATTAACATGCTTATTTCTTATTGGTGACACATTATTTAGTTTGCAAATTTAGTTTTAAAATTAGTCTCCTTAGCATTATCCTAAATACTAATGAAATCACCCCTATCATGCAATCAACTTTAACGATGATAATTGTGGAGTTAGAGAAAAATTTATTAATTTAATGCTATTAGTACTTTAAAAAGGTCATCATGCATTCAACTATATAAAGAATAATGCTAGGAAGGTTAAAATTTTAAATTAAATTAGCAAACCAAATTATATGTAATTAAATATGTTAATTAACATTTAAGTAATAATCAAATCATCAACATCCACATCATTTAATTTACAAAATGTGATTTGAAAATTTAATCTTCTTATCATTACCCGTATATAAAAACCACAGTTAAAGAATAATTTGTAAAATAACAGTGCACATTTTCAAGTGTGATGTTAATGCATAACCGCATTTGGTAGCAGATGGTTAAGGACGAAGAGATAACAAGTTTCGTTGTCGGTGCTCCTGAAATAGTGTGTGGCCTCTTTGTTTGATCATTTTTGGACACGTAAAAGTGTTATGACATATGTCTCCATAGTCTACATATCTATCATATGCAAAATCTATTTCTTACCTGTTCTAAGCTCATATTTTAGAGGGCCCCTATTTTATCACGCCCCAAGAAAAAATGATCTTTCTTTGATCATTTTTGGACACGTAGAAGTATTATGACATATGTCTCCACAATCTACATGTCTATCATATGCAAAATCTATTTCTTAACTGTTCTAAGCTCATGTTTTAGAAAGCCCCTATTTTATAACGCCCCAAGAAAAAATGATTTGTTTGTGTACTATGTATACGAATTCTTTTTGTCTAGACAAAACTGTGTGAATTATTTTTGTTAAAAAAAAAACTACAAATCAATTCTTATTTAATAATTATTTGGAGTAGGACAGTCTGCTAAGGGCAAAA